CCAAAATCTTCATCCCAGCATGCATTTCCAACTCCTTTAATATAACCCTGTTCTCCTGACAGTAAAACAGTTCTAAGAAATAACAAATGCTCCACTAAATAGCAAGGTTATAAAACTGGTTTTGTACATTTATTTTGTGTGTGTGTGTGTGTGTGTGTATAGAGAGAGAGAGAGAGAGAGAGAGAGACAGAGAGAGGGGGGAGAGAAAAAGACAGACAGAGAGAGAGAAAGTGCTATTTGTGTGGGGGGTCAGAGGACAACTTGCAGAAGTAGGATCTCTCCTTCCACCATGTGAGCCCCTTGTTAAACCCTCATAACTCAACAATAATAGGGAAGGCATTACCATTACCTCTGTTTAACAGACCAGGAAAGAATTCCCAAGATTCAGCAAGATTACATAACCTTCCAAAATACAGACAGCAAATAAACTGTCTGTTTTTTTAAACTCCACATAATGTACTTTCTTGTTCAATATACTACATTGAGACACTCAGAATTCTTTTAAGAGAAACATCCAGATGTAGACCAAAATAAAGAGTACAGCCATTATCTAGGGCCCTATCTCAAATGACATTTCAACAACTAAGAACTACTATGACAATGTGATTATACTGTAAACATGAGGTGACCAGACAATTTACTATCCAAATGAAATGCTTTCAAGAATAAATAAAAAACTACTAGTAATTATGTCACGATAATAGGCACCATCCAGCACTGCTCAGTGCAAACTGGGATGTGTAGTCACCTGGCTTATAAGACAGCTTTATTTATGCTTTACTGCAGCATTTTTTAAAAAAAGAGAAGCCAGAAATAAAGACATAGGTGCTAGACAAAAGCAGCAGGAAATAGGTAATATTTGGACAGTCCACTATCATTTGGTTCCAGCTTTATCTTTGACACTTCTGCTTAATGTAGCAATTCTCTGGCTGGAATGATTCGGAGTTAGAAAACCTTGTGTGTTTTCTCAAACAAAGATGACCTATTTTTAATATGAGCATTAACAGCTAACAAGACTTCACATATGGAAAGGCTCCTGTTTCAGTTTTCAAGACAGTTCATAAACGAAATAGTTTCAGTGAGAAATCTAACATTATCAATCTGAATTTTTAAATTATTTCAAAGGAAAGGAAGGAGGGAGGGAGGCAGGAAGGGAGAGAAGCAGGGAGAGAGGGAGGCAGGGAGGGAAGACCACAGATCCTAAAATGAATTTAAAAATTCTGCTGAAATGCTTCAAAGAAACCATCTCAACAAAATTCCATTTTAGCCCTACTTTGGTCTCCATATAATGTTCTCCATCTGAGTGGTTTGGACAATTCTGTTGGATGTACACCAAAAGTCCTGAGCCTTAAAGAAAAAAATACCCCAGAAACCTACCCACAGCCCATATAAACCTTCCAGTGTGGGCCTAATCCACAGTAGTTGTTCCAGAATGATGATGATGATGAAGGGCACAGTCATACTCAGAGTCCCAAAATAGTCTCTGCCAAAACTACCCTGACCATACAGACTACCCAACACATATCCTCACTCCCCCACACACTGTGCCCCACAAACTTGGTTCCCTGGCACTACTTGGGAGTCGTAAACAACCCCAAGCCAGACCACACACTGAGGTTATGAAGACAAGGCAACATTCACAGAGAAATTTTTAAAATGTTATTCAGTAAAAAGTACACAAAGCAGTAATCAAAGGTCTATATTCTATCTTAGACACTACCCTTGGCTAACAAGAATGGCTCACTTCAACTTGGAAAGCAGCTCCCACAGGGGGGATGGGGGGAGAACTAAAACACTACCTCCTAAACTTAACTAAGACATTAACATTCCTATTGGAACAATTAAGAGTGACAAAGATGTTATCTTAACAACTATGCTATATCATGGCCCAAATGAAGACAAGTTAGAATATGATACACATTATAGGATAAAAGTCCTTCTCCAAGGATAATTGGCTTTGTAAGCCATAAATTTAGCTTCTTCATTGCTAACAGTGAATAAAATAAAATACAAATTATGAAAGTCAGGCTACTTTCAACCAAATCATTCAAGATCTTAAGCTTTAAAAAAAAAAAAAAAAGATTTTGTTTAAAATAATTAGAAAGTCTTCAGAGTTGACTGCTATACTAAAAGGGGCATTTAGTGAAGCATTCACCAACAAAGCTTGGCTTAAGTGAGATATCTAGAAATTTAGGATCTAGTTCAAGAAATGAAACTATTTATTTAAACTTGAACAAACTATATGATCTCTAATTCTTAGTGTCTTCAACTATAAAATGAGGCAATTATATAGATGAGTTTGTTTCCTGCCTATAAAGTTTAAACATGTCTTTTCTTTTCAGATGACATCATTCCCTAGTGAAATTATTTTTAAGTCTTTTAAGACAAATACTACACTCCACTTATAAAATGTCTTAAAATTTAAAAGCACCAAACAAATAGTGGCACATACCTATCATCTCAGCACTCAGGAGATAAAAGCAAGAGGGTATCAATTTGAGACCACCCTGGGCTATTATAACAAGTGGTAAGCTAGCCTAGTTTACACAGTGAGACCCTCTCAAAATATCCAAAACAAAACCAAGTCTTAAAGTACATTTTTGAATTAACACTGTATGATACAGGTTGAGGTATTTCATGAAACATATACCCACGGTAGAAAAAAACTAGAAAAGAGCCTCAATTAGATTCTAGTCATGTCTGTTTCTAATCCTATATTCTTTGATAGCCATTTCAAAGTCACACATTACTATATTTAGCAACAATTATTTTAAGTGTGGGGTAAAAGCAAGAACACAAGACATGAGGTCAGATTTTGAAAACTTGGGATCACCAGAAAAGGATATTAATACCTAGCTTTTGGGCTACTATTAGACTGAGCAGTAAATGGGAACATGTCTAACATCACGGCTGATAAAGTTAGAGGTATGACATAATTGCCTTAGCTGCAGTCCTCACTGGGAACTTTCAAAACTGCCACAATATATTGTCACTTTATCTTCCATATCCTCCCTGCCTATGCCTGAATCAAATTCCCAGAAAGAAGAAAGCAAAAGGATACCTACAGATGTCTCACATTTGTATTAGTTTTTCAGAAAATTTAAAGAGTGTATTATTTCTACAAAGGCCATCAAGATCTAGATTCAATTCCTAACTTTGCTACTAACAAGTTCTATGTAAGGTACTGAACTTTTCTTCATTTTAGTTCCTACAACAAAGAGTGTTTTTTTTGTTGTTGTTGTTGTTTTGTTTTGTTTTGTTTTTTTAAGCCATGTCACTGTAGCTGTTGACCTTAAAGAGACCCTGAAGAAGCAAACAAAAGCCAGGTGGTGGTGGCACCTTTAATCCCAGGACTGGAGAGGCAGAGGCAGGTGAATCTCTGTTAGTTCAAAGCCAGCCTGGTCTACAGGGCAATACAGCTCCAAAGCAATACAGAGAAACCCTGTCTCAAGAAACAAAAAAAAAAAAAAAAAAAAAAAAAAAAAAAAGGCAAACTTCACTCTTCACTATCACTTATATATCTTTTCAAAAATACCCCCAAGACTGGTATTAGCTTTTAAATCAGTCTTGAAAACAACTACTGGATTCCTACATTATAGATATATCTTGCTGCTACCCACTAAACAACAGAAGCTTTGGATTTGGATGTCTCTCTGGTAAGGAGTGGCCAGGAAGAAAACCACGCAGAGGATGTGCTTGTCATACACAAGGCCTTGAGTTCAATTCCCAGAACAACAACAAAAAGAATTCCCTAAGAAGATTCTTTAGAAAGCATTTGAGCAGCACACCTAATTAGTTTGTGATGATGGGAAGGAAAGTAGGGATGAGAAGAGGAATTAACTGCTGCCATATAGCGCCATCTTAATTCATCCTAAAATGCCATTAACTTTAAAATGACATTTATATGCCTCAATGTTATTTTCCAAAAAGCCCGCATGGGTCTCCATATTTCCACACCTACCTTTCTCATGAATAATGACCAGTACTATTTGTCCATCTTACTACATAATTATGAATTTAAGAGAAAAGGCAGCAACCAAGCTGTATCCTATCTTACCTGAGGATTAGGTTCTAAGTGAGTACCAAAATAACCACCAAAAAGCCATTAAATTACCAGGACTAAGGTCCTTTAAAGCTCATAGCCACAAGTTTACTTCTTTTCAAATATAAGCTGGGGTCTCCTTTTCTTTTGGAAAAATAAAGGCTAAAATCTACTTTTTAAAAAGCATTACAAAACACTGGATAAACGAGGAAAGTTATCTTTTTTATAAATAGTCAAATTTATATAAACATTCATAAGGTAAATAAAGTAGACAAGGCAAATTAGGTTATCACAATTAACAAAAATAAAGGAGCATTCAAAATCCTGGACCTGTGATTGAGAGTCTGCTTTCCTTATATTTCTACATCTCACAAAATTAATTTCATTTGTGACGTTCAGATAAAAGTAAGTAAACATATGGTACCTTCAAGAACCAAAGTACTAATTCCAGTCATAGGCAAATATTTTAGGGACACACAATTTCACAACTTGGGAACAATCCACATGAGAAGTGCCAACTTTGCAGATCTGCTCATGGCCAACCATGAAGTTCTGTCAGAAGGCATGACACAGGCATGGACACACACTGTGCATGGCACATTCCCTTGGTGCCAGGGTCATCCCGGGGTGGGTCGATGGGAGCGGGACGGAGTTACATGTTCATGAGAAATTAAACACACACACACACACACACACACACAAGCCTCAGAAACCTGGAATATGAACAAGGGTCACCTCAAGCAAGCAGCGACAAATAGGGCAGTGCCTTGTGCCACAGACCCAAAAACTTCGGAGGAAACCAGAAATGTCCTAATGACAAGTATGAGAACAACAAACGTGAGGGGGACCGGCGGCAAAGGGTAGCTCCAGACCATCCAAGGGAAGGGGCGATAGTTCTCCCGGGATCGTAAGCTCACACCCAGCCAGGGCAGAGCCGAAGCGGCCGCCCTCTGCTTACCTGGAAGACGTCATGACTTCACCTTCCCGACCCGCAGCGCAGCACCCCACGCCTTAATGTCCGATGCTCAGTGTCCACCCCAGTAGCAGCAGGTACCACAGCAACTGCTCCCCAGCTCTGGCACTCGGCGACCAAGAGCGCGTCCTCACACACCCCGCGCGCGGGCGGCCCGGGGAGCTGGCCCCGCGCACTGATTGGCCATAGCTAGAGGAGGGCGGACGCCCCGCCCCCGCCAGACCGCAGCAGCCCCGCCCCCCAGCACTGAGCACGGAGGCTCGCAGCTGGCCCGGCTCGGACAGGCTCGCCGCCACGCGGGCTAGCAGACTGCCAGAGGGCTGGCTAGCAGGCACGGTGGCCATCTTGAGTCCTGGTAACCACCTCCCCGTTGCCGTCCCGGCCACACAGGGCAACAAGGTTGAGTGCCCGCCTCAAAAATGGCCGCGCCGCTGGCAACCGGGTTCGCAGTCACATGGGCACTCTCTACCTCAGGTCCCTTTAACAGCTCTGGGGAAAGGGACGCTGTCAGGACAAATCGTGGACGTGGTTTAACAGCCTGCAAAGCCTCATCTGCAGACGAAAAGCAGCCTTGAAAACCTCTGCCGAGGGAAAACTGAGAGTGGCAACAGCTGCTAGATGCGCAGAATTCCAAGCTGCAGCCTTGGGGAATCAGTTGCAGATGATTATTCCAATCGTTCTTAAGCTTCAGAAACACTTAAGCCGCTTATCTAATATCAATGTATTCAGAGCTCACCAAAATGTGAATCAGAATCTAGGCGGGTGAGGTCACGACATCTGGTATTTTTAGCGTGTACCCAGGTGATCCAGGTATGCACTAAAGTTTTACACACTGTGAACCAAACTACCCAATGCCCTATTTGTCTCTGCATGTCAGACCTCGCTTTCCTCAGTGCAGGAGCTGTAAAACAAGCATTTAAAGCTACAAGAAAAAAAAAATGATGTTGAAGTTTATAGTGAGCTATGTTGATTTAAGAAACCGATAATGGATAAATGCCGCGGGGAAACTGAGAAGGGGTGGTAAATGTTTTATGCCCCGAATAGTTTTTGTTTGTTTATTCTCTGTTTAATAATATTTATGTTAGCAGAGGACAATATCCAGCGGCTCATTTACTGAACACATACAATGCTGATCAATTTCAATGAGTTGAAATGTATCGGAAACAAATCCACCACCACAGTTAAATGTGATTGATGGGGAGGGGAAGGGCTGAAGGGACACCTCAGCTCTAAAGTGTCTTGGAAGTAGGAACTGTTGCTAAAGGGGGGGGAGAAGGGAAGAAGGTGACTCTGCAGGTAAAGTCTGCTACAAAGTCAAGGACCTAAATTCAAGTCTCAGGACCCATTTGATGGAGGCAAGACTCGATATCCATCCTCTGCCCTGCAGATATATACCATGGAGAACATCCCCAACAACAACATTTTTTTTTTAATTTAATTTTTAAGTGGGTGCTTGCTGCCAAGTGTCTCAAGACAAGTGTCTCTGCTAGGTGTCTCCATTCTTCTCCCTTCCATACAGTTTAAAGATTTACAGCTTGTCTGTCTTGAGGTTCTTCCTCTTGAACTCCAATAAACTGTCCTTGAGCTTCAAAAAAAGGGTGTGATAATGTGTACTACGGGGACTGAGGAGATGTTTCAGTGAAGAGGGCTTCAACCACTTCAGCTCCAGGGAGTCTGGACTACCGAGGCACATGCACACAATGTGCCTCACATTCACACCACACACACAAGATAAAAATCATTTTTGAAGCTTCGATTGAAGGAACAAAAAGAAAAAACCCATAACGGACTTAATTTTAATGTTAAAACGGAAGCAACATGATTTCTCTTGATGCTCAGAAAAATAATTTATATTCGTCACTTCAGAAATTTAAACACAAAAATATTATTTCAACAAACTGGACTTAGATGTGATTGTTCTTTCAGAGTCAGTTAGATAAAGGCAAAAAAAAAAAAAAAAAAAAAGTATGGAAGCTGAGACCTGAGCAAGATGATGGAGCATGTGTGCACTAGGTGGTCTCAACTCCTCTCAACTGCTTGCTTGTCTGTCTGCTTTATCCAATCTTTTATAGCAGCTTAAGAAGCTAACCCCAAGGAGCTAAATGACTCTAGATAACAGAACAAAGATGTAGACCTACCTACTAATCTTTTCAACAGATGTTCTAGGCCTAGAAATAACAGTAATGCTCTTAAAATGCAGTCAGTCTGTTTTAAGGAGTACAATAAAATTAAAAAGCACTCCAGAACAATTTTAGTGGGAAGACAAATGAGCACATTTCTAGAAAGTCTTTGGCAATGTGTATCAGAAATTTCATTTTTGAAGCAATTATTTATTAAAAAGTAGACTAATATGAACAAACATTTTATATAGATACAAATTTCAGCATTAACAATACTGTGTACTGTAAGCCAGAAGCAAGGCAATTTCAATAGCAGATAATAGAGCTATTATGAAATGTTTCCATAGATTTTTTTTTTCAAAGAAATAGGAAAATGCTCAAAGGCACAGTGAAAAATGAAAAATATAAACAAATACAGAAGGTAATTTGTGGAGTTTTTGAAAATGTTTACCATATATTCATAGAACAAGACTAGGAATAACACACTTAAATATCACCATTGGTTTTCCAAGGCAAAAAATTACATAAAGATTTTAATATATATGTTTATAGCTTATAAATTTTCTAATGTCCATGGGCTTGTGTCTATTGTTATTTTTTTCTTTGTTTTGATTTTATATTTATTTATGGGTTATATCACACATCCCATCCTGTGCCCATGGAGATCAAAGGACATCTTGCAAGAGTTAGTTCTCTCCTAACCTTTACCCACTGAACCATCTCACTGACCCAAGAGGGTTTTGTTTTGCAAGTTTTTTTGTTTTGTTTTGTTTGCTGAGATGAAATTTCCACTTTGTACCAACTTCTAGCTGTCCTAGAACTCACCATTACAATGGTGACAGGCTGGCTGGCCTTAAACTCAGAATCCTGCCACCACTTCCCAAATCCTGAGACTGTAAGCATGCACTACTGGTTTTATAGTCATTAACGTTTTTGTAACAGTATTTTCTATTTTACTTTTAGCCATTAAGGATTTAGTTAATTTTACATGTATGAGTATCTGTTACATATTATATACAAGAGTGCAGATCATTTTCTTATTTCAGATAGAATCTCACTTTATATCTCAAGCTGGATTTTATTCACAATCCTTTTGTCTCAGCATCCCAAATTCTGGGATTATAGGCCTATAGAACTATGCCTAGCTCTGTAATATTAATTTTATTATTGTTGTTATGTATGTATATGCATATTTTCCCATGTGTGTGGTAAATGGAGATTAGACAATAACCTCATGAATATTAGACTAACACTCTATAAACAACTATATTCCCATTACTCCATTACCTTAAAATGGCTTAAAAATGTAAAGCACCCCTGCTCTAGTAAATTCTACATTCTTAAGAATACTAACACAACTATGCTTATATTTAGAAGATCTGGGTTTATTTTGTAAATGACTCATCTTTTCATGTACATGAACTTTTTAAAGACAAGAATAATAATAAAATACCTAAATCCTGGTTAATTTCTTGGTCACAATTTCACATAATTGAAAGTAAAAATACCACTTTGGGGCTTTGCTTGTGTAGCCCAGTTGTCATCATATGATGTAGAATGTTTCCTGCTTGATACTAAATATTGAAAAGGTCATTTTTTTTTAAAGCAGTGTTTATCTCCCTCACAAGAGAAAACATCTTACAACTTGTGTCCCTGAATAAAATGATTTATTCAGGAGGCAGCGGTAAGTGGATCTCTGTGAGTTCAGGGTTACTCTGGTCTATATAATGAATTTCAGGACAGCCAAAGCTACAAAGTATGACCATGTCTCATAACAAACAAAAGTATACTATAGTATAATGTGGGGGGGGCTAGAAATGTGGGGATGGGAATTCCGGCTTTGTTTTATGATTTATTTTTTATTATTTTTAATTTTCAGTAACCTACAAATGCCTGGTGTCCAATGAAAACTACTTAAAAGTACAGAACACTACTTCCCAAGTATTCATTAATATTTATTTAGTGTTGTGCATGTCTTTAATCCCAGCCTAAAAGGCAAAGACATGTGGATTTCTGTGAGTTTGAGATAAGCCTTGTCATGTAGCAAGTTTCAGGCCTGTTAGAACCACACAGTGAGACCTATTAACATATGTATGCATATATATATATATATATATATATATATATATATGCATACATCTCCTTTTCTATGCCTTAGAGATTCAGCAAAGATAAACAATGTTCCTTTTATGGAATTTACAGTCAATCTAAAGTGTTACAGATAAATAACCAAGTTATAGACAAGAACCAAATAATCACAAGTGCTAAATGGGAAACACAGAGGTTCTCGTACTCACAGATGTTAAACAGAGTTGTGTTATCCATCCAGAAGACTGGGAACTGATGTGGTTAATAGCCTGGTGACCTTTGTAGTATCTGTGTGGGCAAGACCACACCAGATCCTCCTCCAGACCGTTATCATCAATCTATATACCCCATCTTTATGGAAGATGTCACATGTACTTTACAAAGAGTTTCAATGTAATCACATCTTAAGCTTTATTGTAGTTCATGGGACTGAGTTATCACCAAGAAAGCTTTTATCAAATTGTGCTGTGCTTAAATATGCCTAAAATAAACTACTCTGGGTCAGAGTCCTGATATTTGAACCAACACTGGCTACTTAGTTGTCTTGAACTGAACTGCTTTCTTGCCTTTAGTGGATTGTCACTCTGCTGGCCATGGCAGTATTCAGAGAATAACAACCAAGTCATCAATGCAGGGATCACTTTTGCAATGGGTAATCAAGGAAGTTCTCTCTCTCCCAAAGGAGAAATAAGTTACAAGAGCTAGATGGGGAAGGCCATTCCAAACAGAACAAACCTAACAAACCTAAAAGACAAACTCAGCCACCACTGTAAAGAAAAAAAAATAGAAAAAAAAAAAAAAAAAAGAAAAAACAAAACAAACTGAGGAAAACATCATCTGGCCAGTGCAAGTCACAGATTTTTGAGACACAATGAGCCTAGGAACATAACAGGAAGCCACTGTCATTTAGTTTTAAACAAAGGAAAAATGTAATCTTACTTTGTTAA